AATTCAAAATTATTGAAAAAAAACTGGGATTCTTCCTTTATCTAATGAAGATATATATGATATAATACAAATCTAAAAAGAAAGAGTCAAAAAAGAAGATGTGAATATTAATTAAATGATTACAGATCTCAATACAAATGATCCTTTTGCAACTTTATTGGTAGATGCATTGAATAATTTTTTTAATGACTTAGAGGGAATCCCAACCAAAGATGTTTTAGATGAAAATGATATTATAAAACTTATTAGAGAGAAAATGCATAATGATAATGAAAGTAATGAAGATAGTGATTCTGAAGAAGAACAAATGTCAATATCTTTAAGTGATGCTCTCAAATCTCTATAAATATGGATCACATTTTTTGAGCAATAGCAAATAGATGAGTTTTGTGTAGCAGATATGAAAATCTTTAACAAATATCAAATATTTTAAGATAATCAAATGGTTTGAATTACAATTTCAGAAGCAAACTTCTATTACAAATTTTTTTTAGTGGTTAATTAATACATAGTTTATATAACATTTATATAGTGTTATAATATTATATAGCATATATATTACATTTAAATTTACAATAAAGTGTTTTAAAAAACTATTGTTATATTTAATAAAATGTTCTAAAATTGATTATTGCTACATTTTAAAAATTAACTATTGTTTCATAATATCTAATAAAAAAAATTTTATATAATCACCGCATATGATTTATTAATATGATTATGATTGTATAGAGGATACTTTTTACTATCACACTTTTATACAATCACCAATTTTAAGGGAACCGAATAGGTGATTATATGAAGGTCTGACTGTATATATTAATTTTGATCTATATATTATATAAAATAAAATATATATAATTTATTATTAAAAATAGATTAATTTTATTTAAAAAAAGCAATTTAATATAAGAAACTAATATAATTTTTTTATTTTAATAATAATTTAACAAATTTATATATAATTTTTTTTTAATAAAATTTTAATAATATATTATTAAATTTTATTTTTTACTATTTAATTAACTTGCAAAATCTTAAGTTTTATTTAGCAATTTTTATTTTAATTTAAAGATACTAAATAAAAAAATAGATCTTTTTTATTATGAAATTATTTTTTATTATAATATTGATTTTATCTTATCCTTTTAATCTTATTAATCAGATTATCACTTTTTTTCTTATTTGTTTAGAATAACAAAACAATTATCTAAGTCAAAAAATCAGTTATATACCTCTTCAATTAAAAATCTTTAGGGTGATAAATCAAACATATTATTATAGGTATTTTTTTTTTTTTTAGCAAAAACAGTTCCTTCAAGGAACGATCAGAATCATGTGATTTTCTTGGATTTAATAAATTTTGGGATTATGATTTGATATGGTTAATTTTTCTGAAAAAAAATCATGATTATGCATATACCATACACCCACCACACCATAGTTAAAACACAAAAGCCTGATGTAGGCGAACATTTAGTTTGTATAAAAAAATGCTAAACTTCACTTGAATGACGCAGTACTGAAGGATTGTATTATTAATTTGTAACGTTTTGCAAATGGTAAAAAACTAAATATACCTATTAGTCTCCTTATTTTTGCTTGTTTTTTTGGATCGCAATTTCTAGATTTGTAATGTAATATTATGTCAGGCTCATCAATATTGAAGATGCCATCAAATACATGATGCCTCTCCAAGCTATTTATCAAATCATTTGTTTTGCTATACATATTTTATTCAAAATAATTAACATAATTAGATGTATGACAAGAGAAAAATAATGAATCATACCAGGATAAATTTTGTAACTTTTATGGTTGGCTTTAACTTTTTAATCTGGAAAAGCTTTGTTGGAAGTTGGAATTTTTGTACAGGAAAGATTACATAAAATCCATTAACTAAGTCCTCTATTAACATTTGTCCACTAACCGCATAAAGATACATTTATTAATTTTACTTGTTCATTATTCCTGAACAAGCCATTTACAGACCCCCGCCAAAAGTCTTTGAACACCTTTTAGCTTAATATAAAACTCAAAATTTTAAAGTTTATTGAAAAAAAGTTTATTAATATATTTATTAATATATGATATGCTATACATTTTGTACTAAATAATTAGTACTTGGTCGGGCCTCCATTTGCTTCAATTACAACCCGAATTTGCTGCGACATACTATCAACCAAATTTTCAATAGTATGTATAGGAATTTCTCGCCATGTCTTCTTAACGTATCGGTCGAGTTCAGCAAGATTTGAAGGCTTTTTTTTCCTTTTACGAATGCTTTTCTTGACATCGGCCCACAGATTCTCAATTAGATTAAGGTCTGGACTTTGAGCCGGCCATGAAAGTACGTGCAGATCATTTTCTGCATGAAATTTCTTTGCAAGTTTCGTTTTATAGGGGCGAGCATTATCCTCCTGAAATATACCATTACCATTTGGAAATATACGTCTCATAGTTGGCATAACGTGCTTGTGAAGGATGATAACATGTGAAGCACCATTTGCTGTTCCAAATAATGGAACAATGGGTCCTAAACCTTGTTTTGAAAAGCATCCCCAAAACATTCGGCCAGGGCTGTGTTTCATTGTAACAAAAACACAAGAAATGTTCCACTTTTCCTGAGATTCCTGCCACACTCGACTACATCGGCTTTGTTGGAATTGAGAAAAGGTCAATTCGTCACTCCACATGACTTTCGACCAATCATCCTTTGTCCAGCTTTGGTGATCCAAACACCATGCAAGACGTGCCTCCATATTTGCTGGTGAGATTAGAGGTTTTCGTCGAGCAAGACAATTGTTTAGCCCAACTGCACGAAGTGTCCGGCCAATAGTGCAAGCTGAAACATCTTGGCCGGTCTTTTTTTTCCAAAGTTGTTGAACTTCTGCAGTGCATAAGCGACGATTTTTTCCTTTATCATTGGTTACAAGTCGCTTGAGTCGGTTTCGTTGTGAAGGTTCAATAAGAGGTGGTCGACCGGAACGAGGCTTCGAATTAGTGGTTCCGGTGTCATCTATCCTTTTTGAAGTGTCAAATACTGTTGACACTCCACAACCGACGGTCTCGGAAATAGTTCGGTAACTATCGCCACGTTGACGGCAAAAATTCTTGGGTCATTTTCGTTGTTTTCGGAAGATTAAAGTTTATTTTGATTTAAAGTCAAAATAAACAAACCAAACGCGCATTTATTAGGTTTGACTTATGTAAACAAAGTCCGGAACGTCATATGACCGCAGTATTATAAAGTCACATGACGTTATCCGTATGAAATCGCACCTAAAAAATGGTGTTCGGAGACTTTTGGCGGGGGTCTGTAGAATCGATTGGTTAATCTTGCCAGACATCGATTGGAAACTGTTTATGCATCGGTTGCACGTACAACGAACCCACTCCCCAAATCCATCCTTGATGATGCTAAGAAACACTCGTCGCATTTTCGACTATTATGTTAAATAACCGATTTGCTTTGAGGGCAAAACGATTCCCCCTAATAGACATAAATGTGTAAATATTTAAGAGAGATTTGGTCACAAAAGCTGAAAATTATGCTTTATTTACCATTTTTGTCTTATTCCGCGTTCCTTATTCAGTCCGTTGATGATGAATGAAAAAGCCTATGGCGCCACAATAAAAGATAGCATTCCCATCCATGGTTTTATAAATATTTCATACAAATTATGGGCTGACAAAATGAGTCAATCACGAACTTTTCAATTTCTCGCACTCATCCTTTTGAGATTCCAGACCCATCCAGATGTTTACAAATGCATCGTCCACATATACAGCTAATTATATCATAATTCGTAGACAAATCATAATAGGTTAAAAAAGATACTCACAATTCACTATATATTTTGCTGATCTTCTATTCAATGGCGAATAAGCATGCTTAATGCATAACTTATAAACAGCAACTGTCTCACCTTGGTGTACTTGAATGTGCGAATTAAAGGGTGAACAATGACCAAAAAAAAAAAAAAAATCGCTGTAAATGTATTACCTTTTCAATCGCCGAAATAAACGTATTGATATCTTCAGGAAGCTCTGAAACTTTGAGCAAGTCTATAGTTTTTGTCATGAAATGTCTATCGCTATTTGTAAACCAAGCTATCATATGAGCCGAAAGATCGATAAGTCTCGAGGCACCATATCGTAAGTCGAGTCTCTTCAACGGGTGTCAGTTTTTTCTTTTGTTATATCTTTCCGAATATTCAGACATATTTGTCGCGAAGATATCTTCAACAGTTTTTCCTGGAAGCAGACTCCAATTCTGCGAGTTTTTCGAGTAGGAATTGAAAACATCATCCGGATCAGGAGTATATTCATCGTTGTCGTCAACTTCGTCGACGTTGTCATTTTCATCTTTCGTTAATGATGGATTACCATCATCACTTTCCTTTGACGGTGTAAAGTTCATGGAGTTGGTTTTACAATGTTAGTACCATCGGTTAGAACGCACCAATTTCCAAAGGTGTATTTTTTAAGCTGCATCAAAATGTAAGGGCAAATGTTGTAAGTTGGACTGTTTTCAAACAAAAAACGAAGACCTTACCTTTTTTACCACAGGGTTATCCTCTTCAGTGCGAATATTAGGAGGTGTAATCGAACGCTTCCTTTCATTCTTGAAATTTAAGTGATGTAGTGAAGAGAATTTTATCGGTATATTTAGGAGGAATAGATACAGGAACAAGAGGCGCAAATGATAAACCTCATTTCACATACTGATTTATTATTAGTAATAACATTCTCTGTGGGACCTTGAAATGTTTGATTTTGAAATTGATTTGTGTTTAAATTGTTTATAGTGCCCCATGAAAAGCACTTTGTGTTGCCACGATCTATATATGTATGGGAAATATCAACTCAAAAAATAATCTTAAGTATCATAAAATATATTGCTGGCAACTTACCTCCCCAAATCCAGTTCACCTTTTTTGATGGACTCAATCGTTCTCCAAAATGCATCAACGTCCTCAAAGTTAACACGTCTTCGTTATTTATCAAAGAAATGACGTTAGCGTTGTTACATAGGCAAAAGAATATAGTCATATCTGTTGATAGGAAAGGCTCATCAGAACAACGAACACGAAGATCATTGAAGGGCAACACGAAGCTTGCTCCACTTCACAGGAAAGAATGTCTAATACTAATCTCATGAAACCACAACGAACATGAAGATCATCAAGGGACAGCACGAAGTTGTCCCCCCTAGTCGTGAGTAGAAAATCTTAACTGCCCTTGAATAGCCCTCCACCCACAACAAACACGAAGATCATAAGATAGCAACCTTAGCCCTGGATAGGAAAACAAAAGAAAAAATTTTTTTCGAAGAAAGAACACTCGTCTTAAACAATGTTAAGTAACTTTTAGCATATTTCTTGGCTTCTTGTGAACCATTAACTAATAAGTATTCAAGAGTTCTCTTTAAAATGATTACGATATCGATTTTACGCGTTATGAATCTCGATCATTTGATCGGCAATATCATTTAATTATCGACAATTTATCACATGATCGTGTATCACGGGAATGCATATTTCAACCAATTAGAATCGTTTCTTTGGTATTAAAATAATTTTTTCATCAAAGGGGATTTGTTCTTCCTCTTTCGAATCCACTTCGTCTTAAAAAGAATTATCAAAAAAGAATGACGACGGTAAGTTAGTATTTTATTAGTTCTTGGTTTTACTGACTACGAACAATTATATTGGCTCACTTTTATAAAATAATGATATTTATTTATAAATTAATTTTTTGTTATATTATGATAGGAAAACCGTGCCTTCAAACGTTTAGTCGAAGTTGGTCGAGTGGTCTTTATTGACTCTGGCGAAGACGCTGGAAAGCTCGCTGTCATCGTTGAAATAATTGACCACAACAGGGTAAGTCAATTTAATGATGAAAATAGCTTATGCAATTAATGCAATTGACAGTTTTTTACAATCTCGTTTTGATAAATAATAATTTCTTCAATTATCGAAATTTTATAGGCACTTATCGATGGTCCATCCACTGGTGTAGCCCGACACGCTCATGCTTTTCGTGGTATGACACTTACTGATCTAGTAGTCAGAGGATTCCCTAGGGGAGCCGGCTCAAAAATAATCAAGAAATATTTTGATAAGGAAGATATTTTGATCAAATGGAATAAATCAACATGGGCCAGAAAATTAGATAATCGTACGAGGAGAGCTGCATTGACTGACTTTGACAGATTTAAATTATTAAAATTTAAGAAACAGGTATGTGTTAAATTTTTATGTTGTTTTTCATTTATAGATGCATTTTAAAATTAATCAAAGATTTTATCAAAAATAGCGACGTTTTATTGTACAATCAGAAATTGCTAAGTTAAGAAAGAATAAATAAAAAGCCTTCAATTTTTCAATTACATCTGTTTTAAATATGTGATATATTCAATATGATGTATTAAAATCACAATATATATAGTAAATCTTAGCAATAATGAATTTATCCACGTGGATTATTTGTGAAATATCTTTTGCGTTTTATTGAAGTTTAAGTTTTTAAAGAGATGTTATAATTGTCAATTAGAAACATATTGAATTCCATTTACAATGCTTTTGTAGTAAGGAAAATATTACAATAATAATAATAATAATTTGATCTTTAAATCAAAAAATTTTTTGGGTCACTTGTTTTACATGCATAGTACTACCACATGACACGTGTGACCAAGTTTCATTATTGTCAGACGATAGATATTATATAAAACCAGGATTCGTGCAGTGTCTTCGTGTTGTTGCGTTTCATTAATTTTTCATCACCATAGCTTTAAAATTCTCTTTAAAAGACATTAAATAAGGCATATAAGTTATACCCGCTTTTTTTATTCGTTGGTTTATAGTTAAGAGTAAGCTAAAATTTTCAAAATGGCCTCTGAAGAAATTAAGGTATTTAAAGCTAAAAAAATTTTTTTTTTTTTGTTTTAACATTTTACGTCACCCTTTTACTTTTTGATAATTATATATATATAATAAGCTTTGCGTAATTTAGGCAGAAGAGATCGTAGAGGACCCTATGACCATAGAAGAAACTGAGGAAGAAAAACCTGAAGTTAAACACAATGGTACTATCATTAAAGCTTTTTATTCGATTTAAATGATAAGAAAATATTTATGTATCTAATTACTAGTTCTTTTTATTAAAGAGCCCAAGCTTGCTAGAGTAGAATATGATTATGAAGCTCTAGAATCGGATAAATTATCACTTGATAGAGGCGCTGTTGTAACCGTTCTAGAACAAGGTGATGATGGATGGTGGAAAGGTGACTTGAACGGCAAGATTGGCATTTTTCCTTCGAATGTGAGTCTTTCAAAAAAAAAAAAACTTAAATGCTGATCAAAACGCGTATCAATTATTAATTACTATATAATTTTTTTCAAATCTTTAATTTATTGATAGTATGTCAAATTAATTGAAGAACCAAGTAAATCAGCTGAAGATGGCGATGATACTGAAAATCAAGATGGTAATATAATTTCAATTTATTAAATTTTTTTGAAAAATTTAGAATCTAATCGTTGTAAATACAGGTAAAAAGAAAAAGACATTAAATAAGTATGGAGTCAAGCCAGGTGGACTTGGTAGTTTATTTTCTGGAGGTATCACAATTGGACTAAAAAAACGTAATCAACCAAGCCCAGAGAATTCTTCAGGATCTGAAGAAAAACATGCATTTGCTGCTCCAGTTTTAAGGAAAGCTTCTGTACCATCTGTAAGTGCACTTAATTCATAGAAAATTTACATAATTCTTCGTGTAATGCTTTCATTTACTATAATTGAGATTCTTTCTTTTGTAATTTATTTACCGGCAAATTATTCAAAATTTTTTTGTGTATTAGCGCGTCAATCTGATGACGTCATCGGTACTTATATTTAACAATTTGCTAATTTGAATATTCCTTCAATATAGCATCCTCCATTACCTCATTTACCACCTAAGAGAATGCCTTCGAAACCCAAGAAAGGTATTTTTGTTTTCATCCCCCCATTTGAGTTGAGCTTGATAACATTTTATTTTAATATATAGTCGAACCAAAGGCTGAAGTCATGTATGATTACGATGCCGATGGAGACGGTAATGGGATGGTTATATATTATAATGTATTATATTGATTATTTTGTAATTTACTTACAAAATTTACAATTTTTTTTTATCACTAGATGAGATTTCACTAATTAAAAGTGAACATGTGACAATTTTGGAAAAAATTGATGAAGATGGATGGTGGAAGGGAAGAAATGAACAAGGACAAATTGGAATATTTCCTTCTACTTACGTAAAAGAAATTAATCCAGCAGAAGTTCAACATAAGAGCCAGAAAGTTTCAGAAGAAGTTATTGAATCAAATGTTGAAGTAGCGAAACATCATGAATCTTTTGAAACCCAAGCTACAGCCCCTCAGGAGGAAGCTTCTACACAAGTGGAGGCTTCTGCACATGATGAACCTACTCTTGTTTCTGCTGATTCTTCAATTCTTCCAAATGTTCAGGAGACATGCGATATTTATGGCAAAGATTCTCCAACATTACCTGCCTCTCCAACTCTACAAAGGCGTTCAACCACTGAAACGTCTTCACCCTCTAATTCTAGACGCTCTACATATGATGCGTCTCAGGCTGATGCACCTCGAAGACGATCTATTAATGATCCATCTTCACCAACTTCATCACGAAGAAATTCAAGTTATGAAGGAAATGAACATACGACAAGTAAACGGCCTCCATCTGTAGTTTCACCAGATTTGCCACCCATTCAATCTATTTATACAAACAGTAATTCAGTTGCGAACATAGATATTCCTCCCACTTCTCCAGAAGAACATTCAACTCCTACTCGACAGTCAGATTCACCAAAGTCAACACCACCTTTAACCAAACAACCATCTATTACCAAGTCTTTTTCACCAGCCAAGCCTCCTGTCATTCCTCCAAATAAAAGGTCGTCATCTTCTGCCTCTAAATCAGATAAAGCCAAGAAGGAGACTTCTCCGACAGAACCCATTTCACCTAAAGTTGATCGAAGAGTTTCTTATGATTCTTCTACAGCATTATCCGATGAACCAGAAAATAATATTGTTGAAGACGAACAACAAATCGATGAAGATGTTGAAATCCCTGAAGACACTGTTGTAGAAGAAAACATTGATAATAAAAAAATAGTAATTTCAGAGGAAGAAGTTGTTAAAGATGACGAAGATAGCATTACAGAAACCGTCGAAACCATTGAAACTAAAAAGGACGATGATGGTATTGATCATGAAATAGAAACCGAAGAAAAAAAACCACCACCACAACATCCACTTCCACCTTTGCCGTCTGGACCTAAGTTATCCAATTTAGGAAAAGACAGACCTACTATCAGAAATAGGAAAGCTCCTAGTGTCAATAGTGCTAAAGAAAATGCTAGTCAGAGTCAAAATGCGATTTTATTAGAGGCCGTTGCATCGGTTAATATCATTTTTTTTTTAAATTTTTTTAAGTAAATTTAGTAATAAATAATTTATTTCTTTTAAAAAATTTTTGCTATTTAGGCCAAAGATGAGGAGGAACAAAAACCTCAACAAGCTGTTTCGCCTCCAACGCCACCTAAACCAGTAAAACCAGAAAAACCAGCTAAACCAAGCGGATTCAAATTACCACCAACCTTAGGTAATATACAACTTCGCCCTGTTGCTAAGAAACAACCAATTGAAACTCCTACAGAATCCATGAAAGCAACGACAACTTCAACTGATTCGAACATTGATACAAAACCAATTAGTGGAGGTGTTAAAGGAATTTCATCGCGATTCAATCAATTTGGTGGAATTCCTAGTTCATCCGATGTTGAATTCCGATTAAAGAAATGGTTTAATGAAGAAATCAATAAAGTTAAATCTCATTTCGAAGTTCAATTAGCTGAGGAGAGAAATAAAAGGGAAACTCTTGAAGAACAACTTAAAGAACTTATTGCAAGCTTGCAAGAATAAAATATTTATAATTAAAATATTTATTACTTGTATTAGCAGATAATATTTATTTAAAATTGTTAAGTATGTTTTTCAATTATAAACATTAGATTTATTTAATACTTATACTATATTGTATTAATTATTTAAATAGTATAAAGTATTTTTTTTATTGCATGTTGTATTGTAAATAATTCAACATTTATATCATTAATAACAAAGTTTATTTGATTAAATCTATATTTTAATTTTTTTTTTAAAAAAAAAAATTATAATAAAGTAAAACTTAAGTTTTACTTAATAAAATTATAGAAGTAAAATTTTAATATTTATATTATTGTAAAAATGTGTAAAAAAAAAAAAAAAAAAAAGTATATATTTTAAATATCATTATTATTAATAAAAGTTTTAAATAAATTTAATCAGAAATTTTAAAATATTTAATTTAAATTATTATAAAATTTTATAATTGTAATTTTATTAAATAAATATGTTTTTATAATTAATTAAAAATTAAAACTTTTAAATATTTAATCAAATAAAATTATGATATAATATGATAAATAATTACTATTTTATAATTATCTTTTTTTTTAAAAAAAAAATATAAATATCAGTAATTGATTTATAGTTATATTAATAATATAATTATAAATTTATATTATATTTTTATTTAACTATAGATATCTACTAAAATCTCTTCAAAATAATTTATTTATATTCTTTATTATATTTTTAATACATATTTATCAATTTAAACTTTTATTATACCAGAAGAGTTTTGTTATATCTTTTATTATAATTTAATAAATTTTATCTAAATTTTGATTATTATTAAGAAGTTTTATTTCTTATTTATATTTTAACTAAAATGTTCTTACATTTGAATTTTTAATAATTGTTTAGAAAGTAAAACTATTTTATAAATTTTTTTTTAAAAAAATTTAATAAAAAAATATAATATATAAATAATTTAATCAATAAAATTATAGTTTGATTATATTATATAAAATAGATAAAATACAAAAAAAAATTTTTAAAAATATATATGTATTTTAAATATAAAAATAAATATAGAAATTATATAAATATATAAAATCTAAATACTTTAAATTAATTTATATTATTATTATTATACTTAATTAAATTTTAATTAATATAATTAACTTATTATAAATAATATTTTTTTTACGTGCAGTAGCTTTGTATAATCTTTATTAAGAGTAAAGTAAAATTTTACAAGATTATAAATTACAAAAGAGAGAGTACAAAAATTTCTATCTAGCAATAAAACTAAATCAAAATCAACTTTATACCATTTCAGACTAACCTATCCAAATTAAATTAAAATAAGTTCAACCATCCAGTATAGGAAATATTAGTATTCTGAAAGGG